GCAAGGTACTACATGGCTCAACTACCTTTTACTGACAACGGAGGGGATGGCAACTCGATTTTTAGATTAATTTTCCTAATAAAGTTATACTACATAACTTCTAATACGAACTATTGTTATGATAAATTTAGCAACAAATTTTTTTTTTTTTAAATTTAAAGATGCATTATATCTTTAATATGACACAGTGTCTGATTGTTACCATTGTTTCGTTTCTGCAGGTGTGATGGCTGGGGCACCGTATGGTAACGCTGGAAGTGGCTCCAATTTTCTTTGTCTTCCAGACAATCCAACGTACAATTTTACGGTAGAGGGGCGTCAAGGTGAGAGGGGAACAATCTATGGTACCGAATACAGACTGGGGGATCGTCTATTCAAGCCGTTGAATGATCTTCACACACACGATGTTCCCTGTGCCATTTGCCAAGCCCCACGAAGCGTCACCCTTATGATGCCGGCTGATACAGAGTGCCCAAGCGGATGGAAGAAGGAATACGATGGATATCTGATGTCTTCTAAGTTCGATCACAAGCGGGGTGAATATGTTTGTGTCGATAGTAACCCCACTGCGATACCTGGTACGAAAGCAGTGGTTCCAACAAGTCAGGTTAGCATGTTGTATCTCGTTGAAAGCAGGTGTTCGACCTCAGGCGGCGGCTTACCTTGCCTGCCGTACAAAGACAACTTGGAGTTAGCTTGCGCAGTTTGCACGCGATAAAGTTTAGGAATTTTAACATCGAACTTTTTTTTTTAAATTTCCTACATGTTCTTTTATCAGTGGATCCCATCCACGATCGTCTGAAACTCATTATCTACATTGCGGCACACATATCAATTGATTAAAAAAAAAACCCTACCCTTACAAGATTTTAGAATAGAAATACGTTTCATATTAACATTTATTTTGATAACCGTCTGTATATATATTGTTATTTCTGAATAAAGTTTTGAAATACAAATCTAAACAAAGAAATATCTCAATTTTATAAACCGTTTTTAATATCTATTAACGTTAACAGCGCCACCAAACATTACGAAACTTAAACTAAACTAAAGAATATTGGCCTAGATAGGCATAAATAATATCGACTGACAGAGTAATAAATAAAACACAACCATACCTGGAGCCAAAACTCCTCATCGCACAACCCATGGCAAGTCAGGTAACAAAGCACATTAAAAATGGCTAACTGATTTGCACAGAGGTGAGCTCTGTATTCACCGAACTTTCTGTGTATATAGACTATAGAATTGAAACAGAACAAATACAAATATTGCATGTTAAACCGATCCGTCACTGATGTTTAGAACCACGAGATGGATGTATTGCCCTCACGATGCTTTCCGTAGGTGAAATGCGCAATAGCTCTGACGAATTGTGCATAACGCCTACGCAAAACCACGCAATGACCACGTGACGCATGCCTTCTGACGTGTCAAGATAACCAACAATAGCTTTGAATCAAATAAGTCGAAAGAAAAGTTGATGATTGCCTTCTGCCTGCAACCTTGGTGTTGTGTCTGACGAGGACCACTACTCAGTTCCCATTAATTCAGTTTCGTGTAAAAATCTGCAAATACATTGATTTAATCTAATTCTTTCATGATTTAATGTACCGGTGGTACTCATGCTGTCCGTTCTCTGGTGTTAACGAAACTTGAATTAATGCAATTCACTTTTTAGGGATGTAATAAAAGAAAACATTTGAACGTCTGTATAAACATCAGAATCGTTCTGCTAAATTAGTTTACTGTGCTCCGCGGCACACTCACACTTATGAAAGGATTACAGTTGCGGTGGTAACAGTGAGTGATAATTTAGTTTAATTTGTGAATTGTGTAAATGGTGGAACACCAGCCTACTGGCGTAAAATGGTAAATAGATATGAACTGAGAATCCAAAGTGACCACCGAATACAATGTATAATTTGTGCTGAGACCTTTCCAGCGCTAAAATATAATGTTTCTTGTTTGCAGTGGTGGCGCCTGCGGGGTGGGGGGAGGGGGGTGGAGAACAGGGTCGGCATTTTCCCCTCGTCGGACAATCCTGAACCATACCCTGTCGTGCGAGAAACGACTAGGTCGTCGGATCAAAAATTTAAACAAATAATAATTTTCCTATATCCAAATAACGCTATTTTGATTGCCAATCGCTAATATTTAGGACCAAATTAAAATGTTGGGCTATGATTAGAGAGAAACCGCATTGATGCACAGAACCAACGGCTTAAAATATTGCTTCCGAAGGACGTTTCGCCACATTACTTTATTGAGATGTTTATATAGTTTAGGTAAAGAGAGTGTATAAAGTTAGATTAGGTTCAACTCATACAATAGCTTAACAACTGAGTATGTGGAATTAATTAATTAAGAAAGGGCATTTATTTAACATTCTTTGAGTTGAACGTGAATGTTTAACTACCTAATAATATCAAGTGTTATTATTAATATTGAAACCCTTTAACTATTGGGAAATTCTATCGCTGTATATTTTGTAAATATCTATGTAGTAATTATTGTATTTATTTGTCTTTATATTACTCTATGTTGTCTACTGCAACAAATTAATTCTTTAATCTTGAATCTAGATGGCTAGATAAACTAGCACTTTATGCTGCAACATTATACTCTCATTTTCGAAATATTTTCACATGGATCCCGAGATTTTGACAGGTGTGATGTGGTACAAAAGACTACTTAACGTCCATTGTTTTATTTCTCATTTTGATAGTCTGCGCCTTTAAACATAACGCACCTGAACCAGCTTAGCCCACTACCTGTGAGTTGAGAGTTTAAATAAACAGTGAATTACAAATAGGAGATTTGTCTTTTATCACGTATAGGCCTATGTGTTATGAATGAGCATTACCTGTATTGTTTGAGTGCAGTATGTGCTATTCGATGCACATCACCGAAAGTACCTGTATTGTTGACATTATGCTACCACCGTTTCGTGAACCAAATTGAAGCAGGAATGTACAAATAAAAATTCTCATAGCCTAATAGTGATGTAATCACTTTTGTGACTTTCACTTTAACTCATTTCCATAATCGGGAAACTGTATTATTATAAGACTCCTATTACAATAACTGTAAGAGTTTCAACGACAGTGCAAATTGTAAGCAGTGAACTTAGTGAAGATATTTACTTCCTTTTTCAAAGTAGACTAACATAATTGACCAACTGTCGAGTCCGTGCGGTTTCTTCGTATCTGTAAAGAAAGGCGCGTTATAAATGACTAAATTGGATTGGATTAAGTTACAAATTTGTCAAACATTTTGAAATTTATTTACCGTAGGCCTAGCGCTATTATCCGAATTAACGCCCTGCTTTCAATAAACTCCTCCTCGAATAAATTCCCATCTGAGACTCATTTGAAATAAACGCCTCCCTCGAATAAACGCCCCGAGGTTTTCTCCTTCTCAAAACCCTTCTCAACAATAAATTCCCCGGAGCCTGTATTTTGAATAAATACGGATGAAACATGTTGATGATGAATTGCACTTCATCATCAACATCAGACACTAGACACTAAAAGAAGCGACACAACCAGAGCTGTAATTAAATTGCTCACACTCATTAAAATACGATGTATAAATCTATATAGGTTTAGGAAGATTATACCCCTCTTCGAAAAGTCCAAGTATCAGGGGTCCCGAGTTGGACGAAATCGATTCCAGGAGATCTGGTTAAAATGAGCTTTCTTAACATATTTATTTTATTTTATTTTTCTGCGCATGGTGACACCCGACACCCATTGGCACGGTTCTCCATGAGACAATTGATAATAAAGTAGTAAAAACATACAAACACGAATTTCGGGAGATTCCCACGATTTCCGGGAGATTTTTACCCCTGAAGTAGGCCTATAAGTGGTAAAGTTTCGAGCTATGAGAAAAAAAAAATAGCAACCTCCTTTTTTAGGAGGAAAAAAAAAAGAAAAAGAAGATAAGAAAGAAAAAGAAAAAAATGATAGCCCAGAACGCCTCAAATGTTACCGTATTTTCGGGCGTCTAGAACAACTTCAATTTCGCGGGGGCACCCCTATGTAATAAGTGGCTGGTTGCATAGATTTTCTGAAAGTTTTGCAGGTACATTTATTGCATAAAGGCATTATGATAATTTATATAAATGTATATTATTATAAACATCTGTAAGAGTAGTCGTTAGTAAAAATGCACATTAAGGCATGTACTCTCTTGCCCTGTGCGTTTATAGGCCTAGACGCCTGGCTTAACTGTCGTTCTCTGAATATAGGCCTACGATAGTAGGCCCACAACATTAAAAAACAGAATAACTCACCTGCAAATGTGAGTCCTACACCTGATTCAAAGCGACTCAAGGCGAGTTTCTAAATCCACCTGAAACGGAATCATTTAACTTGGGTAAAGCGACTAAGTGTAGGTGACCAACGCCGGTGACTAGACAAATGACCAGAATCTTGTAGGTCTATAACTGCAGCTTTTTTTTGTGGTATTGACAAGCCTCCTAGAATAAACGAATAAGCACCGCAACAATAACTTACTTTTCATTAACTATTTGCTGAGATTAACTCTGTATACGAATACTCGAGGTACCGCTAATGCCCGGGGCAGGCCACGTGTCGCCGCATATAGGCCCAAGTGGATTATGTTTTGTCTAGTCTGCAGTTTATATCTGCATTTTATAATATCCAGATTTTATATTTGGTATCTGATTTCCTTTGGACCAAGACTGTATGCAAGGCAGAGTGATGGGGGCGCGTTAGTCCTCCAGCCGTACCCAAAATGATGCTATTGTAGCGTACTTCAAGTTACTCAAAATCGACAAAAACATAATTATAGGCTGTATACATTGGCTACTAAAAGGAAGATTCGAGGAGGGGGAACTACCTTTTTTTAATTTTTAAACAAAAAATACAAAATGGAATACACATACAAAAAGTTACAGTATTTCGTAACACAGCATAAACTGAATACGTATTAAGCATAGCTTTTTTTTTCGAGAGGGTCCATCCCGCCCCAACCCCCCCCCCCCCCCCTCCTATCGCCGCATTTCCACGCTGGCACTCCTTACTTGCACTATTCTGAGAAACTGATGCCCCCTCGTCTAAAAAAATCCTGGATCCACCCAGGACTGCTTCCCTGCTTCCCTTCGACATTGTTCAATCTCCTGGATGTCTTTTACTAAACGGTTGCCAATTATCACATCTATTTTAATCCTACCACTCAAGGCAGGATTGTACACCGACGAACTATCAATTCGTAATTGGTTGTAACACAATGAAATCAATAAAATCGGCAAATACAAAAGAGTTGCCATTTCCAACAGGAATTTCCGGGCCAATAATAGGCCTATTTAGTAGGCCTAGGATACCTGATGATGACATAATTAATGTCGAAATATTGAATCCCGACACGACGGCGTGCATTTCGATACTTGGATTATGTATTATCTTATCTGAGATTAATCAGTGGACCTTTCGGATTTTAGTAGACCATGGACCTATTAATAAGTCCATGAGTAGACGTAGCTATGTTTTGAAGTACAGTAGTTTAACCATGGATCTTATTAATAACTCCATGGTTTAACAGCAGTGGAGTAGTCTAGGAGTGTGGTCAGTGAGGTGGGCATTAACTGCCAAAATAAGGTAACATTATGAGGTGATTTTTAACTACTTTTTAGCGAAAAACTTCAAAGGAGTAAGTCGCGCATTGTAATGAGGTAGAATGATGAATAATAATAATAATAATAATAATAATAATAATAATATCTTCTGCCTTATTGTAGTCTGTAGCTTATCTTTTCTATATCTATTCAATATGTTTTATAGATGAATTTTATGTAGTTTTTTTTTTAAATGTAAGAAAAAATCTTTAATAATACCTGTTTTTCACTGTTCTTTTACAGGTTAGCGGTTTAGAGAGAATTCACCCTGGTGTCGGGCTTTAGCCCATTATTTTCTCTGGCCATGCCGCTAACCTGCCTTTTTTTGTACTTCATGTTTGTGTTTTTGCATTCATGCCTAATTTATAATAAACAAAAAAAAAAAACAAAACTTGAGCATATTTTTGTTCATCAAAATTCCAGTGTAGGTATCTGGGGGAAGTGCAAGCTTTTCAGAAGTACAGCAAACAGTTTCAATTACTATTCATTATAATTGATTTAAATTTTATTACAAGTTGCACCAAATATTGTTTGTACATGAGATAGATATCTATAATACATTTTCCGTATTTTTGCAATAACTGTAAGTGAAATATAAACAGCGCCCTCTGGAATAAACTGTTCTAGATCTGTCTCTTATACACATCTAGATGTGTATAAGAGACAGGTATAGAATAGATAGGCTATGGCATAGTATTTCAAACATGAAAACTGTTGAAGGAACAAGTAGGTTTCCTCGTCTAGTGAATGTTGCTAAGCTGGTCCTTGTAATACCACATTCAAATGCAGAGGAAGAGAGAATATTCTCTATGGTCAGGAAAAACAAAACATCATTCCGCTCCAATCTAGACCCAAAGGGTACACTCTCAAGTATCCTAACCATCAAGCTGGCACAACACTTACCTGTCCATGCCTATGAAACACCAACAGAAATTTTGAAGAAAGCTAAGGGTGCAACTTGGGCATACAACCAGTTACATTCATCAAAAGAGAGCAAATGATGCTTCAGCCTCTCTTTTACACAGATCTCCTTTCTGTTTAACTTGTTTTACCAAAAGAATTGTTTGTCAAATGTAAAACGTGTATTTGAGTATTTTGAAAATTTTGTTGAAAAAAAATAAATAAAGTTAAGAGTTTTAACACTGAAATAAAGCTATAGAATTTTATTTTCAAAAAATGTTAGTATATATTACCCCATTTTAAAGATTTAATTTGAGCACTAGAGATCTGCTCAGAGTGCACCAGAGAGCATCGGCCTAAAAATTTCCGGGGCCCTAGGCGGGCCCTCGACCCACGCCTAAATTGTTTCGTTCCTGTGCAAATCTCCATCCACAGCCAAACTCAAACTTGGCATGTATGATTTAGTAGGCCTAGGATTCCTGATGATGACATAATTAATGTCGAAATATTGAATCCCGACACGACGGCGTACATTTCGATACTTCGATTATGTATTATCTTATCTGAGATTAATCAGTGGACCTTTCGGATTTTAGTAGACGTAGCTATGTTTTGAAAGTACAGTAGCAGCAGTGGAGTAGTCTAGGAGTGTGGTCAGTGAGGTGGGCATTAACTGCCAAAATAAGGTAACATTATGAGGTGATTTTTAACTACTGTACTTTTTAGCGAAAAACTTCAAAGGAGTAAGTCGCGCATTGTAATGAGGTAGAATGATGAATATCTTCTGCCTTATTGTAGTCTGTAGCTTATCTTTTCTATATCTATTCAATATGTTTATAGATGAATTTTATGTACTGTTTTTTTTTTAAATGTAAGAAAAAATCTTTATTAATACCTGTTTTTCACTGTTCTTTTACAGGTTAGCGGTTTAGAGAGAATTCACCCTGGTGTCGGGCTTTAGCCCATTATTTTCTCTGGCCATGCCGCTAACCTGCCTTTTTTTGTACTTCATGTTTGTGTTTTTGCATTCATGCCTAATTTATAATAAACAAAAAAAAAAACAAAACTTGAGCATATTTTTGTTCATCAAAATTCCAGTGTAGGTATCTGGGGGAAGTGCAAGCTTTTCAGAAGTACAGCAAACAGTTTCAATTACTATTCATTATAATTGATTTAAATTTTATTACAAGTTGCACCAAATATTGTTTGTACATGAGATAGATATCTATAATACATTTTCCGTATTTTTGCAATAACTGTAAGTGAAATATAAACAGCGCCCTCTGGAATAAACTGTTCTAGATCGTTATGTTTAGCAAAAAGTATAGTTCTTATGGTTTTCCACCTAATTCTTGTATCATCCGAAAACGTCCAATTATTTGATCCACCATATTTCCAGGGCAATGAACATTTAAACATAAAAGTATTGTATTTTTTATGTACATGCACTTTAACTTTAAATCAATAGAGGTTAGAATTCATCTGAAATACTTATGGGTATAAAACTATACAATTATTAATATTGCAAATGAAGTAATCTGCCATTTGCATCCTCTTAAAATATTCATCAACACTTTAAGCAAATTCTAACAATAAATTTTAATTTACTAGTCTTGCTAATACATTTTCTAAAGTAACTATAAGACAGATAATAATTAAATGTTCATTTTAACGGTACATTAAGTATTTCAATTAATAAATCATTATTCTTATATCTAATGCATAATTATATGTAAAAATATTTCTCTGCATACATAGCAAATTCAAATATCAATCAATTTTAGATTATAAGACCTTATTTACACAATACACACTGTACAAAATCAACTTAAAAACTCAGTACAAGGTTTAAGAAAATACAATCAGTTTTACATTCAGAGTATTTACACACTAAGAAATCAAATTCTTGGGTTTCAAACATTCTAGTAATTCAATCTCACAAAAGCAAATTACCATAGTCCAGCTTACAGTTAATTATATAGTTGTTAAAACTTGGAGAAAAGTTTAAATCACAAGATAGAGATTGAAATGTAATAAAAACAGCAAAACAAATCATGTTTATATAATTTACTATTAGTTACACTAACAAAGCATTTAATTACATTTTGTTTAAATCCAGAAAGACAGTAATATATGAACTCCGTAACAATGCTTAACAAAAGTTATAGATTTTATGATCTAATGGCCAGCTGGACCTTTAACACATATATTCATTTTCAATAAATGCAACATGACTGTTTGAAAAAAAAAAGCAATTTCATGAAATGTTCAAATGCCAATCTGTGACTTAGTATTATTTCAATTTAAATCATAATTTATTTATTTATTTATTTCAACAATATTTTACGAAGGTGGTCCATCCAGCCGGAGCTGATCATTAGGGACCCTCAATACATAACACAAGTAACAAAGGAAATATAAATAGAAAAACAAAGAAATTAAAATGAAAAAAACAAATAAATAAAAAAAATGTTAAAAAAAATTTTAAAAAATAAAAAATAAAATAACTAATAATTAACTTTATACAGGGCGCCATTTACTGTAATAAAAAAAGAAGTCTGGGTCCTGACACAAATATGGTACAATATCACTTACCTTTTAAAAATACTGAATAGTTAATAGAAATTAATTCATATTTATCTGTTTAGATGATAAAACAAAGAGTTGTATTCTGACAACCAAGACTATTTTGTTACTTAGTGTCATAAACTTAAATAAAACATGCATATTCATTATCATCATCATCATCCTTATTATCATATTCACCCTCTCAGAATATTAACATATTTTCAGTTATTAAAAAATATCCTCAATCATGCATTGCGATTGATGCTGTATAAATGCAACTTTTAAAAATTTATATAAACTGAAATAAAATTAATTTTAAAAAGGAAACATTGATACTGTCTGTTTTTCTTTTATTAGGTAGGATATTTATAATACTTAAAAGCTAACGATAGAGCAAGAAACAAAGTTTTATCAGAGTACGTATTTGCCTTTCTAATGCACAGCCATAATTTAATCAAAAATGCTAAAGCGATATAAAGTAATTGAGGTGGCGAACATAGACTACATCTTAGTGCACTGCCTAGTTCAGCACTCTATTGTGGGAGCCTGTGGCACAGTGTGTATGGTGCTGGACTTCTGATCGTGAGATTGGGACTTCGAGACCGACGCTCGTCGCAGCGGCATTGTGTTCACGGGCAAGACACTTTACTTAGGTTTGCCTCTCTTCACCCAGGAGTATAAACAGGAGTGTCATGCTGTTAACCTGCTCGTCGGTATCCCTGCTAGGACTAAGAAAGAAGCTACATTTAAAAAAAACCCAACTGTGTAGCTCCTGTGATTCATACGAATGAACGAACGAGCACTCCATTAGTTTTATAATAACTCATATTGGCTTTTAAACAATTAACAATCTCTGGTAATTAAAGTTATACCAACAGTGAGGTAAAACCTTAAAAATTCAATTAAAACATTGAATTCTTCACTTTAACAACCAAATAAATTATCAACTTAAAATTTGCAGCGATTTACAAACTTTTATAAACATTCTCAAATTGATACCTGCCAATTTAAGGGTATATGCAAACAACGTAGGGACATTATTATGTTAATTGGTGATGAATTTACTTTCTCGCTCTAATTCCTAAAGCCAGCAACAAATATTGAATGTTATATTATAAAGGTGTTTATATCACCACAAATAATATATTATGATTGATTATTGGTCATGGATAAAATAGCACCATTTATCCAGTAATGTAAAATAAAAATTTGACTTATAGTCATGTTGATACCATTGATAGTACTTTAGAATGTTTGGTCTTCATAAAGAGTTAATTATTTGTTGCATTTGTAGGAAGTCCTTCATATTGACCTGGAAAACTTTTAATTGCTTATAGCTCTGATCACCACATACATTTATTTATTTGTTATAAAACTATGACAAAATGATGCAATATATAAATCAAACACATTATAAAATCTTTAGCTTTGTCCAGACTAAAGCTTTATGCAACAAACACATGTGATCTGTCCATATATGGGCATGATATGGTATCATAATGCCCATATATGGTTAACCACATGTTCATAGCATGGGAAGCACTTCACTCATATCTAGTAGTGATAGTATTATGAAGATAAATATTTTTCTAATCTGGTTACATCAAATTCCAGACTTCTTATGGAGGTTACATTTATAGCAGCTTGGTATTGCTCTAAATTATCTGGATTCTGAAGACTAGGAGTAGAGTCTATCATCATTGCATTCTCAACTTCATCTGGGTTATAAAGTACTAGCCCGGCCGCTGTCATCCATGGTATCATAATGCCCATATATGGTTAACCACATGTTCATAGCATGGGAAGCACTTCACTCATATCTAGTAGTGATAGTATTATGAAGATAAATATTTTTCTAATCTGGTTACATCAAATTCCAGACTTCTTATGGAGGTTACATTTATAGCAGCTTGGTATTGCTCTAAATTATCTGGATTCCGAAGACGAGTCATCATTGCATTCTCAACTTCATCTGGGTTATAAAGTACTAGCCCGGCCGCTGTCATCCACAACACCTTCTTGTAAATAAAGCATCCATCTGTAATAAAGAAGAAACTAAATAAAAATGCACAAACAGTGGTGGCACCAGTGGGGGGGGGGGAAGGGAGGGGCATTTTCCCTCCATTGGACAGGCCTGGACCCCCCTGTCGTCAGATGCACGACTAGGTTGTCTGACCAAAATAATAAAAAAAGAACTATTTGCATATCTAAATAATGTTATTTTGATTGTCAATCCCTAATATTGTGGTCTAAAACACATTTTGGACCATTAAGCCATAAAAACTCTCCCGTGAACCCTATACCACGGATTTTTTATTCCTGGCTGTCGACCGAGGCTCTAATCGGCCCCTTGGTTCTTCCCCCTTCGTCGGACATGTTGGACCCCTTGTCGGCAAATTTCTGGCACCACTGCAGTGCATAAATTTACCAGTCACGTATCTACATTCATTTTACACTACTGTGATTTGCAGTGTTCTGTAAAAACTTAAATAAACTGATACTCACTTCTTTTTAATTTCTTTACATTCTGTCGACAAATAGTGAAGACCTTTCCCAGATTTCTCAACTAATTTGAAGGAAAAGGGTCGTTCCACTGCTTCTCCATCTTCAACATCAGCAACGTTGTAAAATGAAAGAGGAATTGATACAACAGGTCGGACATCCTGTAAAGAGGAAAATTTACATCTTCAACATCAAAGCTACACACTTACTTCCTGTACATTATACCAGTTATGTAAATTACGATTTTGAAGGTTAAAATGTTTAATATTTCCAAATGTGTATTACTGCAGTCATCATCAACTCATAATCAAAATATCATTAATATTGATAGTAATAGATGCATCTCATATGCAGTGTATTTCCTGTGATGAGATATTTTGAGACTAATTATAATTAGAGTTTATATTTTCATTTTTATATTTTATTTAAAATCTCACCTAACAGTGTGTAATCTGCCACTTATAGAATGGACTACGAATAAAATATAAATATAGGAAGATATATAAATGTTAATCTACTATCACTTTTATACGCAAAAGAGTACATAATTCTTAAGGTTTACTTGTAATTGTTTGCATATCATAGTTCATTGATATTTTCCCTCTTGGAATTTCAGTAGACAGAACCATTATGGTTATAGCCCCCTCTACATATGAAGATGTGTTTATATTCATGTTTCTGAGGACAATATATTATCGCTATTCTAATCAAAGCCAAGACATGTTTTGTTTTCTTTAATTTTTTATTATTTTTTGTCACAGAAATTGCGCAGAACACTATCTTGTTATTATAAGATCTTTGCTAATATGTAGTCAATGTTAAACATAACCGTATATGGGTCTGCATTAGCCTTGTATTTGGCAAATTCCATTAAGAAGTCTAATCAAAATACATTTTAGTCATTCGTATCACATATTCATTCATACTTTGACTCTATTGTTTAGTAAACTTTGTCCCATGGGGCAATTTTTCTAGCATGCAGTTAACTTTCACTTCATTACAAAAGGTGTTGAAAAGTTGCAAGGATAAAGGACTGGAGAGAGCGAATAAGGACATTACCCTAGCCCAAGGAAATATTGCAATAAGCCAAACCCTTAATTGAGGTTAACATACAAGATGGGCAGATATATTTAGCTCAAGATTCAGACAATTCGGCGACTTATTAATTCATTTTTCAGGATTGAAACGAAAGAGAAACATTATAAATGCATAACCATGATGATGATAGGCGCAAAATCAGTCAAATAGAATTATTAGGGTCAGGGGTGATTTTAATTTAATTTGTTTTATAATATAGCAGTTTTACAACAATAAAAAAATGACACTTAGTTTATGAAGCGCCATTTTGAACCTTGTTAATTGCCAAGTTTACTTTCTCTTATAAACGAAGAAGATAAAACATTGCTATTACTATTCTAAATAGTGATTGTCTCTGGTGACTGTCTTGAGACGGTCCTACGATACATTCAGGCTGTTATCGAATGCATACAGACCCATATACGGTTATGTGTAACATGACAGCCAGGAGGTTAAACTAATGCGAGTCAATCAAAAATTAATATAATTGCAGTATACACCTGACAAGATTTTTGGTGCAGGAAATTTAGTGTTGACTGAGTGCACCAACCACACCCTTATTTTTTTTCACACAAAAACATATTAACTCTTAAACCAATAACTATGTACCACTCCACTAAATTTTACAATAATCTATTAATTAATTTTTGCATAATCTGCTAAAAGACGACAGACCGAAACACAGCACAATATACTTAACATACAGAAGGAGGATATAAGATATAAGAAAGAAGTAATAAAACTGGTTACTATAAATCAAGTAATCGTACCTTAGGTGCACGGAGCAGGTGTAAGTCTGTAGCAGTGACAACGGCCCACAGTTTTGTCCATGTATTTTTATGTTGTATAAACATTATTGATCCAAATATACAATCATCCTCTGTCAAAGACAACTAAACAAAAAAGAGTTTGAACAAAATTTTATAAAAGTAGGTTCAATAATTTATGATAGTCCATCTAAAAAAATCAAGAATAAAGGCTGATTTCTGATTATCTACCAACCAAACATGTAATGATAAATGATTTACTGAATTCTTCACTTCATATTTTCCATTTAAAAAGGTTTTCATATGATGGACTTTTTAAAAATTGTTGCATAAGCATTTATAAATATTGATAAAAATGAGCAATTAAATATTAAACAAACATTTAACAAATGGCTTACTTTTTTCTCTTCTGTTGTTATGTCATTTTCCTCAGTAAGGCCTTTCAACCTTACATAACACTTGCGACAAACCCTTCCTGATTTGTTAC